TCTACAGTGCAAGTATTCTGCTGGAAATCTTAAAAAGCAAACTGAAAAGTAGAATGATCAAGTGAAGCTGATATGAAAAATTCAATATGCCACACAATTAAAGATAGGTGACCGAATCTTCCTTTCCATTTCAGGTCTCTCAGTTGAGCTGCAAAAACTCCTAGTTGCCATGTTGGAACCCAATCATCTTCTCCGGCCCTCAGTAGAGATGTTGCTTAATTCTAGTCTTATGCAAAAAACTGAGAGGTGGCGAAAACTTGTGTTGTTAGCACACTCTGGGATCCAGCAGGGTGTCTCCGTGTACAAGGTAAGCATTAATTTAGGCAGACATTGTTATGGTCCAAATTTTAAAGCAACATTTAACTACACCTCTTTGGTGACTTCATTTTTATGTACATTTGCTTCAAAATTGGTTAAATATTTTAAAAATAAATATTCCATACACTCTGCCAGAACTTTCTCTTCCTTATAACTATAGTCATGACTTCCATCCTTGTTATTAACTTATTACTTTTACCTGTGATTGAATGAAACTGAACTGGTTCTACTTCTTGAATTCTTGGATTTCTTTGGTACCTATTAGTACAAAATTCACTGATTTATTCCAAATGTTTATTATCATTTAATGCTAGAACCTTTTCTAGATTGTTTTACTGTCAAATTTAGGAGATGCTGTATTTCATGGTTGTTTTCTGCTTGGTGTGTCTGCTGATCTCTTTCTCAGAGTTTAATATTTTCCTTTTGCTCATTACAGACTCTCCTCAGGTTCATGCAATGGCTTTGGGGAGCTCTGTACCGTCCAGCTCAGTGGTTGCTCTTTTGGCGTAAGACTGTTCCAGTCACACCACCACATTCACCCTTTCTTCTTCCCCTGGAAAACAGCAATCTCACTAGTGACTGGGGTGAAGAAGATGATGATGATAAGGAGAGCTTTGGTGATGATGTATTTGACCTTTCAGAGATAAGTAAAGGACATAACCACACTTGCCCTGTGGAGCTGCAGTCCTTGGATAAGTAAGTTAGAGAGAAGCATATTCCCTTTTCTACCTATCTTAAAATGTAGCAGAAGTAGAAAGTGAACATGAACAAGTGGCCTGCATCAAAATATATTAAAATAGTGGTAGATGAATCTTAGTGTTTTTTAAGGTCAGTGAAGTGCTTGCCTAATTTGAAAAACAGATAAGGTCAAATCTCAAAAATCCATTGAAAAATATCTTTTTTGATACTGGAATTGATGAATTACTAACATGAAATAAACTCCATTCACTCATCCTTTTTTAGAACTTCTTAATTCCCTAACACTTCAAATGCATGCAGTAACTTATCTGGTTTTAGCCATCTCTGAAACCCAAAACAAAGGAAAATTATTTATCTTGTTAAAAGGACTTGAAGAAGCATATTGTAAAGAGCCCTACCCAATTTACTGCTTAGAGCATAACTGACAAGTAAGAGCTTCCAATGGATAGCACCAAGTCTTTGAGAGAGAAACTACCTCACTATTCCAAGCAGTAGTATCCTCCAATGCTTTTTTATAGTTGTCATAATGATTCTCCAGAAAAATTCAATCCAAGCCTGAAGGCAACTTATGACATTACTAAACTTATTCAATTCTGATTTTCATATGAGAATGTATTGCTCTTCTGATATTTTCTCTAATTATTATGAAATGTTTTTAGCTTATGAAATGCTATCATCAATTATTGTCTAAGTTTTTTAAAAAATTGAAAATACTCATTTAGCTTTTCAACAAAATTTCATCTTTTTTAATTGATAAGGATAGCCAATTGCCCTATCAAAAAATAATTATCCCCTGATAATTCAAATTATTTCTGGCTAAGAATTCAACTTTTGGGGAAAATGATTTGCATTTTTCTTAAAGGACAGAATAGGTCTGTTTTACCTAGAACTTATATGATGAATGAAAGGGAGAAGAGGAACAAGTAACTAACACAGCCTACTTGTTCAAACATGATGTGCATCATTTATTATATGTGTTGGTCTGAATTCCCCACCCATTCTCCAATATATCTGTCAGAGTTCTGCTAAGCCTAAAAACCTCCTTTTTATTTTTCTTCCAGACAGCCTGGTTCCCCGCTGCTTACCATATGCCCATGTGCAGGAAGCACCTCCACACCACGGCATCCCTCACCCCAACAGACTCGTTGCAGGAAAAGCAGGTGAGATATTATTGAAGCAATGACTATGAAGAAATATTTGTTTTCATATATGTATAACCAGATATAATCTGGCTTGTTTTGATTTACAGGATTGTGCAAGTGTAATATTCAGTAAAGTCCTATTACTTAAACATAGGCTTACTGTGTCTAAAACTAGTCAGTAACTAACTAAACTTCTGGAGACTTTTGCAGAGTCACCTACAAACTAAAGATACAAAATAATATTCAGAATGTTTGATGGCTTAGCCAGGCAGCAACTGTAGCACGGGCCTAATACTTTAGTTTGCATGTTTTCAGTTGTTCAGGAAACGATAAAAGTGTGGTATTTTGAAGCTTAAGATTTTCCCAAGACTCTTAAGACTGTGGAGAGGCCAAATATTTTAGTTTCTTTCTTGCTAAATTGTGAAGTTTCCATAATTTCTTCCTTTTTTTAATCATTCATAGGTCTTTTACACTCCAGGGAAGTCCCAACCTTAGTCGCATTAGTCTGAAGTCCCCATGCAGCAGCCCCACTTCATCAAACATGTTACCTGCGAATACATTGCAGCACACACCAACATATGATGAAACAGAAGTTAAATGGGAATCAGTTTTACTTCAATGCTCAGATGAGTGCTCCACTTTTGAGCCAAAAAATTTACTAAGCTTATTTGAGGATTATACAACACCAAAACAAAAATGTCAGAGCTGACGGGGGAACTATTTTCTGACTGCTTAGGCCCTTTTGGGGGGAACATATTTTTTTTTTGCGTGCTAGAGGTCAGTATGCTCAGAGGTACCAAAGTTTGACCAACTTCAGACTAGTGAAGGAAAGGCAAGTTATTAAGGATGCTTTGCTGTGTATATTTTATCTACGTCAGTATATATAAGGCTGTTTTTTATATATTACTTCTTGCCTTTATGATTTAAGAATATTTTTCTGATAGTCAGTAGAAAGCAGATCATAATCTGTCACCATTTTAGGTAAAAGGCATCCTACTTTCATAAAAATATGAGGATTTCTATATGATTTTTTTTTAAGCTTTTGTCTTTTTCTTTTTGTATCAAATATTTTTTGTCATTTGGAATTGGACTTTGAGTTTTGGGGCTCAATGATCTTTTATTCTGGGGATTTACAAATGTAGCTATAATTCATGATATTAAAAGCATTCATAATTTCCACTAATTGGTTTGTTTCTTTTTTAAAAAAGCATGATTATAAAATAAAACTCCATTAAGAAAAAAAAAGGCTTAAAGGAGATGTTATTTAAAGCCAAGTCTAATATATGATGAGGGAAGCTATTTGAGTTTCATGTTTAATGGAAAGAAACCTTAAAATACAGACCTTTAGATAAATGATTGTAAATTGTGCACATTATTATTGGCTACCCATATTTTTGTGTCTCTCTTGGTTTCAGGATTTTCCAATCAGATTACATGAGATACCCTATTCATATTAGGTAGAGATAAAAGTGACTGGTGATTGATAAAAATGTGCTTTTCTGGAAGCGTATTCATTCTACTTTAATAAGCTTCAATTAGGAGATAATTAGGATGCATGTATTTTGGTTCTGGAATATCCAATTGGAAGCCTGATGAATGTATGTGCATCATTCAGTTAGCAAAAAAAAAAAAATCTGTACAGTATCAGCATGAAATTTGCCACATTACCAATTCCTACTTCTGTGGCATCTGTTCTGCCTCATAGAATGGGACTGCTTTGATTTTATGTATGCAATATCTCACAACCAAAGCAGCTGATTTTTCTGGCTATAATTTTTCTTCTGCATATTTGCTAGTAGGAAAAATAGCAGCCATCCAAGGCACTACAGGAAGAATTGGGGAGTGAGGAAAGACAATCTGGTTTCAGATAGTGGTTCTCATCTATAGGCTGACTCTATATTGTATTATGTTGTAATCCAAACTGAAGTTAAAAAGTCACTGCAGATTCTTTCATTCCTTTCCCTTAAATAGACAATACATATGGACTTCCTATGCTATTTAACCAGCAAAGGGGCAAAAAATACATTGATGCCATCATTCTTTATTATATAATTTCAGCCTGGCACTAACTTGGTAAAAATGATAAGGTTAAAGCATTGCTAGCTGAGCAGAGTAATCTAGTCCTGCTATATAATTTTGACAAATCGCCAGCACAATGCTGCCGTATCCTGTTTTTTTACGGAGATAACAGAATGAAAGCAGGCAAAGGTGACAAGAAAAAAAGGAACAGGATATGCCCAAATAGCATGAAATAAGCATCGTGTGGTTTCATCAGTACTGACAACCTGATTTTAACCTCTAAAACAATAGGTGACAAAGTATAATAGGTGTTATACTTTGTTGCTCTTATTGGGAAATCTCTACTTTTTTTTTACATAGAGAAAATGAACGTGCCCATTTATCAGAATATTTAACGTGTAGTTTTCCAGAATCAATCTTAAATTTCAGTAGCAAGAGTTCCATGATACAAGATTTAAGGCAAAAATACCTTAAATACCAGTTGTAACTCAACCAATATATATTGTTCAGGAACTGATTTTGTTTAACTGGGTTAATGTTAGTCTATTTACCTGATGAAGAGATCTTAGAAATTCCAGAATTAGCATCTCATTTTCTAAAATTTAAGTTGCTCTTATAAAGTTCCTTCTCAATTTTTTCCTTTTAGCCAATATAACTGCTTCAAAGGGTTAGGGTTCATAATAGAATCTTCAACCATACTTATGATTTCCAGAAGAAGCATGGTCCTTTACTTGTAAAAGATTCCAATTAGTTCCCGCCAGCATGTTAGTTTTCGCTGAACCACAATTCAAGTTCATAAATCTTACCCTTAGCAGCGATTCATTCAAATGTAGAGAGACAAAAGCTGTTAAAGTGAAAGTATTTTAAGACACCCCCCTGCTTCAGAATGAAATTTGATGGATACCTTAATAGACATATAAAGGAGCCATCCGGCATTAGGGATAACATAGCCACCATAAGCTGAAAAAATTCAAGAGATTTGAAGTAGTTCATTTCAGCCCCATTTTAAACATTTTTTTTTAAATCAAAAGCCCAAATCTGCCACTGGCCCAACTTTTTTTTCAGCCTTTTTTAAAAAGTTCTGGATCTTAAGTATTTAAAATTCCCTTCTCCCCCTCCCTCACATATGAAGTGCATTTTTTGAATGTGGTGCCTTGCTCTTTTATTTTAAAGATATGTGACGCTTCAACTTCAGAAGCTGTGAACATCAGCAATGTCCATCTACCCTGAGATAACAAGAGACAAGACTTGATTAGCAGCAGATTAAATCCTCTTTCAAAATGTAGCTGTATGACACAAAATTCACATACTAACATGGAAGGTTTAGGTCAATGTTTCCCTTTTCATAACACAGATCTACTTGCAACCTAGAAATTATTTAACCTTTACTCTCTTCCTTCAAGAATTTGTTTGACTCACTTTTCAGCTTAAGTTACATCACGTTCATGTTTTATCTTAGTTATCTTTTCAAAAGAGGATACAACCAAACTAACATATTGTATATATTAATAATAGGTGGGGTTTTTTCTGATTCTTTTAAAAATCCAAATTGGTCTCCACATCTATTTTTCAGTCTGGCTGGTTTTAACAAGGTGGATTTACAGATGCTGCAGGAGGACAATTTTGATCTTTAAAGGAATCAGAAAAGATTTATTTAAGTTGATATGTTATTCACAATACCCTGTACCCTTTCCAAATTTCTTTCCTGGCAGAAAGGAGTTTCCACTGCCACTTATATTCTTAGAAACATACAAGTAGATTTTTTTTTCTTATTTGACCCTAAATTAAACTAAAATCCAAGTAGGTTGGTTTACTATATACTGAAAATTAGTTTTCAGTAAAGGTCACATAAAATACTTTAACCATTTTTTAAAATATTCTGTGCCTCGCTTACTAAAATAATATGAAGTAACTTGTGCTGCATAGAAAATAGAGAAATTCCCCATTTCAAGGAGAACCTCTACACATAGCTTTTTAAAAGCCAAATTACAATGATCTACATAAATGCAAAATATAAAGGGCAACCAAATATTGAATGGGTTGCTTGATTTGGGTGTATTTTGAGGCTAAACAAAAAAAACTGATTTTAAAATCTGCCATAAAACACTAAAACAAATTCCACATGAAAATCCATTTTACATTGAAAGTAGCATTACGCACAATTATTTGAGTGTTCAGATGTGGAAGATCATCAGGACCTGTAAGATCACATACTTTACCCCTATTTAGACAATAGTCTTACATGCATCAGGGTCTAATATAGTTCAGCAAGCTAAGGACTACGAGCCAAATTTAGGTATCTAAAAGAAATGCTAGCTCTCCCAGTTCCTAATTTTAAGCCAAGGGAAAACTTCAAAAGGATTGTAAAATATTTGCTAGAATGCTGTTTTGATCCTCAACCTGCCACTTCTGATTAGGTTCTCAAAAAGCACCTCTTCCCAAAAAAATATGACCATGGACCAGTAGTTAAAAACTTATTCAGAGGAAGAATCAATCTCAGGATTCTATTTGTATCAAAAACCAATCAAATTAAAAAGCAAAATCTTCAAAATGGACCAATTCA